GCAGCTGTGAGCTCCATAACATGTCAAGAGTCCATAGATCTCTTAAATTGTAAATAAAATGTGTTGCACATGGATGCATTTTTAGGTAGGAAAAAGGAAAGCCATAGTTTTTCATAGATTCCTGAGAAATTTTTGAAAAAAATTAGTAACCATTGTACTAAAACAATAAACAAAAAGTACGCAACTGACACAACCAAAAAACCACTTGCAACACAACAAATTTGCAAGGTAGGAGTAATTCAGTGAGGAAATGTATTCTCAGATATGCAAAATAAGGGGACAGTCAGGTAAAGGGCTTTGCAGAAAATAAGTCTTGAATGGGGAGGGCCTAGGACAGAGTAACAAATCCAATACCTACAGAAGCAGGTAGGACATTCACTAAGTGAGCCTGCTAAGTGTCCTTGAGAAGGAGAATGTGGAATGATGGGGCCTATGGCAAACTCTCTAGTCTGCACATCTGTATGGAGGGGCCAACATCATCACCTACTGCCCATTTATTATTCTACCAAAGGTAAACATGACATTTCCTGATCCCTTGGGTTTTATAATAGAAACCAGAAATCTTGATGATTAATACGAGAACTCTAGGACCAGCAGTTAGCATGATGGCTATGTCGCTGAACTCCCATGTAGTCTACTGCAGTTCAAGTCCCGAACCTGGTGGCTTAAACTCACACCGGGCATGTGTGCATGTATGCCCAAGATCCCGAGAGGAGAATGGAGGAGGGGGGATTGCAATATGGCCATCCCCCCTGGGGGATGATTTCTTGCTTTCTATCTATAGCAAAAACCTTTCTTGCTTTCTATCTATAGCAGAAACCTCCTTCCTCCGCAAAAAAAAGAAAAAAAAAACTCCCATGTAGTCGACTGCAGTTCGAGTCCCGGACCTGGTGACTTAAACTCACGCTGGGTGCGTGTACATGCATGCCCAAGATCCCAAGAGGAGAATGGAGGAGAAGGACTGCGGTATGGCCATCCCCCCTAAAGGATAATTTCTCACTTTTTATCTCTCTGTCTCTGTCTTTCTTTCTGGCAAGTGCACATGCCCTATAGCAAAAATCTCTCATATATATATATATATTAGCTCTTGTTTTTTAATCTTAAAAATGAATTCGGGTGTCAGGTTGTAGCATAGTGGTTGTGCAGCTGGACCCATGGAGAAAGGTCCCAGGTTCGCGTCCCAGGGCCTCCCTGAGTGTGCCAGCGGCTTGCATGTGCCTACGATCTAGGCTGAGACTGGAGTGGATCATAGTGTGAGGGCCCTGTTGGTAGTGCCTCTCTTTCTGCCTCTCTCTCTCTCGTGGAAGTCCCAATGAGTAAACTTTCTAAATAAATGAATTCACAATGAAAAATAAACAAACAGGCCTTCTGCCTGTAAGCTCCATGCTGGCCAGTTGACCCCAGTCTTACACCTTTGCCGCGGAACTGAGGTTTGAGGAAGTCTTGAAGGGTCCTATTTGGAGAAAGGTCATCAGCCAACAGTTTGAAAAGCAGGAAACAGAGCAGATCCCACAGAAAGGGTCTGGAGGGGAATGGTGGATTGTGCACAGAGAATGGTCTAGAAGCACCGATGGAGAAGCAAAGCGGTGCAAATGAAGTTTGTGAGCTGAAACCACCTGAGAGCCCCAAGCAAATGAAGGGGGAAGCCTTCATCTAAGAGATCTTAGGAAAATGCCAGGTGACCATAGAAATTAGAGAGAGATTACCTCTTATGTATACGACACCAGCTTAAAAGAAACCCTTGAAGAAACTGAGACAGGCCTCCAGCAACTCAGTGAATTAAACAGGAAGATGTTGGCAAAGAAGGGGGACAGAAGAAACTCAAGAGCACCAAATGGCCACTGGAGAACACAGGGGTGTGTTACGCTCTCCATGTGATATGATGACGGGCAGCTTTAGGGATGCCCCAGGTGACAGGGTGGGTCTCTCATCCATCATTTTTTACCTATCACTTGTCACCAAAGGACAGAAGGGGACTTCAGAGCCCTCGGTCCTTTTGCTTCTCTCATGGGGAGGAAGCTTGACCATTTTACCATGCTACTCCACCTAGCTTGTGCTCACTGCTATTAAACAAAGTCGTTTGCCTTAGGGATGTTTCCCACTGAAGTTCTGAAACCCAAGGCAATGAGAGTTGCCCACAGAGATAGGAGGAGCTATGGGGTGGAGGGCTTAAAAGCAATTAGAGAGGGACCGAAGGACAGGCAATGACCCCAGGCTAATGCAAGGGCACCTGGACATCATCTGAATGGCAGCCAGAGGCAATCATAAAGAACTGGGTACACAATCCTGCAGTTGAGGTGAGTTACTGAGCATTGGTCTCCTCTGGTGACAGCCTTTCTTTCTTCTTCTTCTTTTTTTTTCTTTTGGTCCACTAAACATGGCAAGAAAAAAAATAAATAAAAGCAAAAACAAACAAACAAACAAAACTGAAAATGGTAGAGAAAGGTCCAACACTTTCAAAATAAAAACACCTACAGACTTACTTAGAGAACTTACTAACATACAACTTGGCTCATGCTGCAATTAACTATGCTGCAAAATGTAGGAGAGTGCTGAGAATTAGTAGTGAGACCTCAAAGCAGAGCCTTTCTTTCTCCAGTGGGCCATGAGCAGTGTTAGGAACATAAGAAGGACATCCGAGTTGGGAGGTAGGATGTGAGGTTTCCCTAAGAAAAAGAAGAAGTGGCTGAGGCTTTGACTTGAGATGTCATATGCATCGAGGTGGGAGCTCACTGAAGATGAAGATGAACCCACAGAGGAACAGGGGCCACGTCTTCCACTTCTCTAGTAAAAGACAAAAAAAAGAAAAGAAAAGAAGAAGTGGAGGGGAAAGAAGAGCTTGGTGACAAGGAAAGAGAGAGAGCTGGAAGTGACACAGTGACTTTATAGATTGAAATTATGTTATTGTTTTAAGATCAATCATATCTATAAGATGGGAAGAAGTAAGAATGAGAGAGTAAAGGGAGAAGGAAGAAAAAAATGAAAAAGAAGAAACTGTTTCAATTCACCAAGAATTAAAAAAAAAATTCACTATCAAATTTGCAAGGTCAGAGTAATTCAGTGAGGAAATGTGTTCTCAGATATGCAAAATAATATCTTCTCATTATAAATAGAAAATGACAACCATAGCATCATCATGATAAAATAATTCATCATATGTAGGATGCCCCTAGCCAGGAGGAGAAATAAGACCCCACTGCTTGGACGATGCTAACCGTGAGCATGCGTCCATTCACGTCATCCTCACAATGACTTGGTGGCAGGGGGGCAGTCATTTTTCCATCCCCTGATAGAGAAGATGGCAATCTTCACAGCTGGTCTGGGTTACTCCACACGTGTCTACCTAAGGGTTGTACCTAAGTGGTGGATAAAACAAATATTTTGTTTCAATCCATTACCATTTTTCTCCCCGGTGGAGTTCTTGTGGAAAGGTGGGCCAAAAAATGCTAAATACAAACATCGTGACCTTGAGGAGAGATAATCCAGGAATCTTCAGGTGAAGGTTATGTATTTTTTCTAAATACTAAAATATATCAACTTGTTTTACTGAAAGAAAAAAACAAGGAGTACACGAAATAGCATAAACAAGAAAACAAATCCTGAGTAAGCCCATCACTAACAGAGAACGTTGACATGGTGACGTGTTCCTTACAGACTTCTGAAATAATGCCTGGCGTCTTGTGGGTGTAATGCAGGGCCTTGGTTTTGGTTTTTTATTTCAGCAGAGGAGGTATTTTTTTTTCATTTAATATTACAATATAAAGAGAGAGAATTTCAGATTTTCCTAAGGAAAAAGCAACTTTGGGGGCTTTGGCCCCATCTTGTTATAAATTACTTGTAAACATGATCGTAATGATTCCACTATGGAGAATAATATTTTCATATATACCATAATTTAATTAATCATCTGTCTATTTTTGACGTTTAGATTCTAGTTCGTATAAGTGAAACAAGAACCTTATATGCGTAAAGCTTTCTTGCTCTTCAGAGCCTTTCCACGGAGTAGAATCAGTCGTACAATGACACATCAAAGCCTAAGCAGCTGGGAGGGTTTCTATTGCGCCCACGTTCAGGGGAGGGCCAATTCTGCCTTTGTCAGCAGAATATTGAGTCCTGGAAAGCCGCCTCTGGTGGATCCTGAGAATACCTCCACATACCTTGTCCCTTGAGAACTCCCAGGCCTAGGAAGGAGGAGGTGGGAGGAAGGCCTTGGGGGCGGTGACCGGGACAGTGGCATCTAGATAGAGGTCAGGATTTCACCTCTCTGCACTGGCCGGCAGCCCAGGAACGGACCAGGTTATCCCCAGAGCTTTTACCAGACCATCCCTTCAGGGCAGCTCCTTTCTCACTCTCATGTGCCAAGCCGGTGGACAACAGCTGAGGAATTTGCCAAGTCACCTGAGCCATTGCATTGTTTGCCTCCTGGGGAAAGATCTTCCTGGACAAAAGGTCATTCAGACGCCCAAGGACTTTGGAGCGCAGGTACTTAGGCTTGGGTACCTCTGGAAAACTCCGCGCAGCGGGACCCTGCCTGTCTGGTCCGCAGCGCCATCTCCAGCTCAGGGCCAGGAACCAGTATGTGACCATGAAGCCACAGCTGGGGTGTCTTCAGCTTAGAGACATTCGGGTGCGTTTGGGCGCATAGCCGAGGATGGGGATCTCCCAAACTCTTCCCTTGGCCTCAGCATCTTCCCTCCAACCCCAGACTCCTGAACAGGAAGACAGATTCGTCGTCTACCAATTCCAGTGCTGCGGACCCTGAGCCTACCCAGCCAGCGTGATCCAAAGCTTTTCTCCGCTCTCGGCAGGGTCAGCCTGGAGCGCAGGGTTCAGAGGGCGAGGGCGGGGGATCTAGGCTGGGCTGGGGTTGTCCTTGGAGACCCCGGCCTCGGCTAGACTAGCTGGCTGAGCGGGGCGGGGCCCCCGAGGGCCGCGGGAGGCCCCGCCCGCCCCGCGCCATGCACTGCCCCGCGGAGGGTGCCGGCCCGGGCTCAGCCTTCTGCAGCCCCAGAGCTCGCTGCGCGGACTTCGCTTCACAGCCTGCTCTCTCGGCACCCCAGACCTGGGTAAGTAAGTCAGGGGTTCCTGCCTCCAGGCACTTTGCCTGGCTCACGCGTGTACTGGTTGTACGACTCTAAGGGGATTCCTGAGACCTGGTTCAGTCCAGACGCGCAATAGACGCGGGCCAGGCAGGAAGCGCTGCGACCCTAGTAGAGGGAGACCCGATGGGACATGGGCCTCTCCTCTCGTTTCCCTCTGCCCATATTCACTTATAAAATAAATGCATAGCAAAAGAGCTTTACTGCCATAGAACAGCAAATACATTTCCCCATTATTATTAAGGTACAGACATTTGTGTAGAAAATTTGGAAGATACCTGAAAACATCAAAAGGAAATTAAAACCACCCACGAACCCAGTGACTTTTCAAGAACCTCCAGTTCAGGCAATAGGCAATACCTGAGTATATACTTTCCTCAAAATGAGATCTCTCTCCTCTCTCTCTCTCTCCCCCTCTCTCCTCTCTGTCCAAGAAGGTTCTTGGATCTTGGCATCACTTGGTAGAAAGGGCATGGGACAGAAGAGAACATGTCTGATATCTAATTGTGATTGTAGCAGTGGGGAGAATGGGAGACTCTTGGAAGAAAGTTGACCAAGGAGCAGCCCTGGATATATGACCAACCACAATAAATACCCCCTGGGATTTCAGATTGCTCTAGGTGCATTGACAGCTCACTTGGGTTCATGGTTAGGTGAAGAAGGAAGTTCCACAAGGGATGGGCCTTGTCAGTAGCAGTAGCAGTCATATATGGGCAGGGTGGTGGGGACTTTGCAGAGTTCACAGAGTCGTTAGAATCTGTGTGTGACAAGTGAGTTTCGGAGCAGCCCAATGGACAGATTTCCCAAGACCAAGCAAAAACCTCCTGCTTTCTCTGGACTGTTTCATGCTACTCATCAGGTGAGCTGAGGGTTCAAATGAAGAAGGTATTCTCAGTTTCCAGAGGAAATTGTCTTAAAAATATTTAGGGGGCTCTTGCTATTGACAGTTTATTGGAAACTGAATTGTTTTGAAAATAAAGTCTATGTTGAAGACATCAGAGGGGCTCACTGCTATCATTTTATGTGTGAGAGTGAGACTGTTCCCATGGGGCTCAGGTCTCCCTGGGAGCTGAATGGAACACTGATGCATTCATGCATGCATGCCTGCCTTCCATGAATGTTTATCGTGCTCCTACATATGCCAGACACTGTTCTAGTCACTCTGGATACAAGGAGGAAAAAACACATGCAAGAGCCCCACCCTCAAAAGCTTATGTTTTGGTAGGAAAGACAAATATTTAAAAATGTACACAGTAATTATACAGGTAATAAGTAGTATGGGGGGAAAGTAGAAAGCAGAGTAAAAATTACCTGGATTGAGGGAAGAAGAATGAAAATGATACTCTAAATATTAACTATTGCTGACTGTCTCTTTAGGAATAAGGTGGTTTGCAGATACACATTTATATATTAAAAACTATATGAATAATGCAAATTTTGATATGCAAAAGAACATAAACCAAAAGAAATCATGTGATATTTTAATATAGAAAAACATACTACATTTCAAAAGGTTTTTATTTGATTATTTAGCCGTCTATTTCCAGAGTATGGTATATATGATCAGTTATTCACTCTCACATTTCCATTGTTGTAGTCTTTAACACTTTACTTCCTCATTTGGTTCAGCAAACCCTCATTAAAATATTCTGGGTGGTGGAGTGGGATGAAAAAGATAGTCTCTGACCTTCAGGAGCTTCTGGGGAAAAATGCCCAGACAGGTCTACAAACAACTGAGTTAGGATACCATCCGTGTTATAGGAGAAGGTGTAGACACGGCACAGGAGTGGTCAAAGGACAAGAGGGAACATCTTCAGAGGGTTCATACACAGTTTGACATGCAAGTCCACTTGTCAAGTACCATATTATTTAGCCAGCAGATACTGTGGGCATGCCTCACTTACAAGAAACATAGCACACATCAAGCATTGGGCTTATTTTATGCTACAAAGCCCTGTGGAGTACAATCAGCATAGATTCCGTTACTCCCACTTTCAGTTAAGAAAATCAAGTCTCCCTGGATTGATTTTATTCACCAGAGATAAGATTCCTTTCTGTTCTCTTTATAGGAGGAGGCTTCAAAACATTCAAGTAAAATGCATGTTATGAAAAAACTATGCAAGAATTTCAAAGACTATTGCACCAAAATAAACCTCATACTTTCATTCCATCTTCCTATGAAGTCAGTGACTTCACTAGGCATCGTTCTCTTTCCCAAATGTTCACCCTCTTTCCATGTTGAGTTTGACTGGGCTCTTCTCATTAACTCACCGGCTTGAGTCCCTGAGCTGTCAGTGTTGCACCTCAGACCATCTATCGCCCAAACAGAGGTCTGAGAAGCCCGGATTCTAGGACCAGACTCAAGGCCAGCCCTCTGTCCTGAAGGGTCTGGTGACTCTAGCGACTGTTTTACTACTAGAAGCCAACCGTGTTTCCAGAATTTGGAAATAATGTTGTGGTAGAGGTGAAAACAACAGATAATTTCTTCCCAAGAAAACTGACGATGGGATTCTTAACTCTAAGATCATATTCACTGAAGTTTGACTTATCCATGATTGCATTTAGCCTGATTCTGTTTTCTAAAACAAATACAGCCAAATGATTTCATGACTAGGTGCTCTTTCGAGGAAATGCTTAAGGAATGCTGTCAGCGATAGGAATGTTACTCCCATTCTCCCTAGATAAATAAACTCAGGCACTGAGCTGTGAAGTTGGTCTAGGACTGAGCCAGGGCTGGAACACAGATCCCTGAGCTCTGATAATCACCCTTTCCACCTCCTGCCTAGACCCAGAATCGAGCTCTCTTTGAAGAAAACTTAGAGTTATCCAGAAAGCCTCATTCAGCAAGTAAATGCTGAAGAAAGAGTGAAAGTTGACAGTACTGGGAAAGCTTCTGTTCTGAAAGCATCCAGGCCGTAATCACTGCTAATAAGTGACCCAGTTACTAGAACAAGTGAGAGAAATGAAGAAGGGAGAATGTTCAACACAGGCTGAGCATCAAACAGGTTTTGTTTGAATGTGGCCAATCCATTGCTGCTGTCTTCCCAACTCCTTCCTTACTGGGTAAGCTACAAAGAGCTTAGTTGTCTCTGTGGCTGGCTGGCTTACAGGAGTGGGGACAGGAATGACTTCTGATGGCTTCTTTGCTAGAAAGCCAATCCCATTTTGAGTAGATTCAAATTTTACTTGATAAAAATGGCCAGTTCTTAGTTCCTTTGAGCCTAATTTAAGGGTCCATTTCTCCTTTACAAGATCCTGGGAACTCCCTTTCTTACGATAAAATGTGAGTCAATAATTAAAAGATTACATTTTAGATGTATTTTTGATAAGAGAGATGGCCTTTGGCAAGTCACCTTGCCACTCTGGAGCCCCATTTCCTATAAAGTGAGACCAGTGGATCAGGTGCTGTCCAAATGCATTTGAGCCCAGCAGCCTAGAACCCTGGCCGCTGGGCCTGTGCGTGCTTTGGCGTCACAATGGACATGAACTTAGAGAGTCTGATACAAACTCGCAAATGACATGCAGATTCGGCCCTGTGTCCTTTACACCATGCTGACTGTTAAGGAGGACATTGCAAATTCATTTTGAGACTCATTACACAAAAATACCATGGAGACTCAGCCTGCAGGCTTTGGGTCACAGAGGACATTTGGCAAAGCAATCCAATACATTAAATGTAAAATAAGAAAAACTATTTTCTTTAAAAATGCAGCATTGTCATTTAGAAGGCAGTAAATTCGCTTGACTTTTCTGGTCCAGCATAAAGGTCTGCCCCACGAATCATAACTGAAGGTGCCAGCCTGAGTTAGGACGAGGGTAGCTGAGGTTACGGTGAAGACTTGTCTCTACATCTTCTCTTCAGACCACATTGGAGGCAGGCAAGGCCAAAACAGAAAGCCTGAAGAACAAATGAGATTTGAAAATTAGGCTATGAAATCCTGTTTCTAAAAAATTCTTCTAGGTACTCTGCAGCACAAGACCAATGGGACAATTCTCCAAGATTCCATACCATAGCTCAGTGGTTCTCAATCTTGACTATAGGCTAGGATCATTGGGAGGCTTTTATTTATAATTGTATTATTTTTAATTGCCTAAGGACATGAGCACTCACCAGAGACAGAGGAATAAAGCACCCCACAATGGGGAGTATTTCTCAAATCTCTGGGGCTAGAATTTGAACTGCAGTTAGCTATGCCAGATCCAGCTCCCCTAACCTTTAGGCTATAGGGCTGACCCATTAAGAGGCTTTTAAAAGCTCTTGGTACCAGAGCCGAACTCTGACCACCAACATCAAAATCTCTGGATGTGTGATCCAGGTTATCACTGTTTTAAAAATGCTACAGGTAGGGACCAGCAGTTAGCATAATGGCTATGTCGCTGGACTCCCACATAGTCGACCGCGGTTCGAGTCCTGGACCCAGTGGCTTACACTCACGCTGGGCACGTGTGCGTGTGTGCCCAAGAGCCTGAGGGGAGGATGGAGGAGAAGGGATTGCGGCGTGGCCATCCCCTCTGGGGGGTGATTTCTCGCTTTCTATCTCTCTGTCTCTGTCTGTCTGTCTAGCAAGCACCCATGCCCTATAGCAAAAACCTCTCCCCCCCAAAAAAAAAGGAAATAAAAATGCTACAGGTGATCCCATAAGATACCAAGTGTGGTCCCATGCCCAGCATCATCAGAGTCATCTGGGAAGAACCAGAAATGCAAATTCTCAGCCTCTCCCTGGACCTACTAGATCAGAAACTCTAAAGATGGAGCCCAGTAATCTGCATTTTTAACAGGAGGTCCCAAAGCATGCTGAAGTTTGAGTACCGTCGCCTTGGAACAGGGCTGAGTATGGTTTGGGTCTGGAAGGTTTCCAAAGGAGATAGTTCTAGTTTCTTCCTTCAGCAATAGAAAAGTCCATCTGATTTTAAGTAACAGGCCTGCAGGGAGTGCCTCAAACTGGATATAGTTTTTGTGCTTACGCTGTAGGGCATGCTAAAGCTCTAAACAAAGACATTATCTACTGCTGGGCGATACAGATAGAAGAAAGCTGAGCGATAGCCAGAGAAGGCCAGGAGAGGCTCGTTTAGAACCACAAGACGCAGGACATGAGGGGCTCCACAGCTGAAGTACAGGGCTTTGCCTCCCTTATAAAAGAATGAGCACAGAATGGCGTGGAGCCACAGCATTTTCCATCAGACACCCAGTCCTCCTGACCCTCACTATTCTCTGCCTGTCCTTTCTCAATCCACAGCCCTCCCCCTCAGGTTCCAGGTCTCTTGGCCACCAGGCTGTGGCAAAGGCCTTCTTGGTAAACCCCAAAGTATGAATTAATTGCAGTATTTGCTCCTAAATGAGTCTGTTGTATGGAGTTGGTGGTTCTAGACCAATTAACATTTGGCTCTCCAAATGCTGCCCATCGTAATTTCAGCCACTAAACATTAAGGACTCTCTCACAGTCATAGTAGCAGGGCTTTTCATCAGTTGTGGTCACTCTGAGTTTCTGGAATAAAATTACATTATCAGCTCAAGGTCTGCCTGTTTTCTGGGGTAGGGTTCTATGCATTCATAAATGGTTTCAAGTCATTTAAAGAAGAATTTATGAGCATTGAGTTAGAATCTAATACCAAAGCTTCCTGCCTGCCCTCATGGTTAGAATGGAGCTAAATGCCAGTTTCAGGTAAGACCCAGTACCTGAGAGTCTTCTGAGACCACGTGGCTTAACCCCTAACAGATCTCTGTGCACAGACACAACAGCCTTGGCCTCTCATCCGTCACTGATTTCTCCACAAGGCAAAGAAGTGATCAGACAGAAGAAAGCCAAACTTAAAACCCCAGATTCAAAGTCCATGGGCTGCAGTTTCTTAATGAGGTGGTAAAACAAGTGAACTCATGACTAAGTGTGCACCTGCCTGTGTCATGTGCCGTGTCATATGCTGTGCTGGCCACTCTACACACCTGTACCTGACAAGTGGTCTGACAGGCTGCAAATGCGATGGTTCCACCTATCTTACAAATGAAAAAAGACACAACTAAGCAGAGCTAAGGAACCTGCCCAGAGTCACGTGACCAGGAAGTAGCAGGATGACTCCAAACCTGGGGTTGGAGATGTCATCTCAAATTTGAGAACTTATGACTCCTCCACGCTTGCTCTCTGAGACTGTGGTTCAGAGTGGGAGGTGATTTTTTTCTTTTTTCTTTTTTTTTTTTTCAGAGATGGTCAGACATCTCTAACAGGGTCTTCATACTATAATGCACCCCATCTCAACCAACCTGATTACATATACACATATGCACACCCATCATGCTCAGGGAAGTCCTGGGACACGAACCTAGAATCTTTCCCATGTGGGTCCAGTAGTGTCACTACTGCACCAGAGCCTGACCCCATACTTTCCTTTTTGAAGAGGTTGTTAACTAAAGCTCTGAAGCTAGCTCATTGGCATCTATTAATTGGAATAAGCATGTTATAAAAAAGAAAGCCTCCACCTATAGAAAGGTATTAAGTTCTGTGGCATCTACTCTATAAATGTTCCTGGGCAGCTCCTGTGTTGCTGTGTGCCATACCCAGAGCCAGATAGACTCAGGGTTTGCAGGTAAAGGCACAGAAATCATGACCATGCTGAAATTAACATAGGGCATGGTATGGGTGATGCTAACCCAGCCCTATGTATCCGAGAAGGCTTCAGGAAGGAGGCAAGTACTGAGCTGGACTTTCAGCATGAGTAGATACCAATTAGGAGTTTCATGAGCCAAGAAGGAGAGGCAGTCTGTGCTAGACATGTGCAAAGATGTAATGGCATCTACAGAGTTGGTATAGGGCTGAACTGTGGGACCTGGGTATGCAACAAGAGTAGAAATGGAGAGGGGCCTCTCGAATTTAGGACTTATAGCACTGCTGAAGATGCCGAAGATTGGGCAGGTAGGAAAGAGCCAAGGTCTCCAAGCTGGAGACCGGCTTGGTTTTTGCAGTAAGAAGGACTCAGATTTCAAGGTGGATACTATCACTGTTCAGCACACCAATGTACAGAGCAGGCTCTTATAGGATGGAGTGGGCTGTTGAGTTTGAGGAGCCTGGGGATGCCAAAAATAAAGGGGTTCTTGGCAGGTCATTGGACACATGGCTCTGATGCTTAGAAGGGAGACCTGGGGTCATAACAACGTGGGTGAACCCAAAGGAGCAGGTGTGATCACCTTGAGAGAAAGCAGTGTGTGCAGAGAAGGCAAGAAATAGAATTTAAGCTACACCAGCAGTCCAGAGATGAGGAGAGGAAGAGGGCCCCAGAAAGGTGCCACACAGCTTCACTTGGTGCTGGGTTCAGTGTGTTTTTAAAATGAAGCCAGTTCTATGAAAAAGTAGCTCCTGGTCACTCTGGAGAGGAGCCAGCATCTGAGGTTTTTAGTTGTCCTAGGCAAGGTAGCGTGCAATGTCACAGTCCCCATCCTAGCTGGGAAAGGCTGAGCTGCCCTGGTGGATGTTGGTATCTCTCTTTCCATAGTGATTCTGGCCATAAAATGTCCCCAAATATAGCCTTCACTCCTAGTTACAACAGTCACCCAAGGGTGTGTTCTACCCAGCTACCGCGAAGCTCCTATAAAATGAGTTGGAACATTTAAGTCTGATTAGCTCCCAGTGGCCCCTTCTGGGCTGAATTCAGAGTATGGCATCAGCAACTTGACCTTGGAGCTTTTGCTTCCCCACAGGAACTAGAGATAGAGACTGGCAAGTGCTCAGACTACTACTACTATTAAGACCTGTTTTATCTTACCAGCAATCTCAAGGCCACCTAGGGGGTGTTTTAGAGCACTCAAAGACCCTGAAAGAATGCCACAGCTATTTGGAGACACCTTTTACAATTCCCAGGCTTATTATGGGTGTTCAGGAACAGTGACATCGAGATTAAAGTGATGAAGAAAATGTCACTTTTTACATGGCTAGGGTCCCCACTCATTGGAGGGCAATGGGCAGAGAGGGACAGACAGCACAAGCTTTAACACCAGCCCCTTCAAGAGCAGCTCCACGTGAAATCTCAGCATACTCAAAGGCTGCCATACAATAAGGTAGGTTTTCCATTCAAATGAATACAGCTGCCCTAAAGAGGAGGTCCATGGTGACCTTGACCATGTGCTGCACATGACCTCAAGGATGCCCTGACAGCCTTGCAGTCTGGCTGGTCATAGAAAGTGCTAGGCCCTGGTTACACAAAATGTATGTTTTTTTTTCAGGTTTATAGGAGGACAAGGATGAGGATTTCTCTCCCCTTTGTTTATGGAGTTGGTAGCCATGGCAGTGCCTATCCATGAGAGAGTGGGGAAAGAAAAAAAGTGGGTGATTTCCATGGATCTTCCACAGTTAAAAGTAAAGCATGACACACAACAACATAAGTAGGTCACAGAAACAGAGGGGTGAGGAAAAAAGGAAAGAGACCAAATGGTACCAGTTGTGTAGACTATTACATCCTACACAATACCACAACAATATGCAACAATACTTATTAAAGGAATTCATTCCAGCTGTCATTGTGGGGGTGGGGAGTGGGAGTGGGGAGTGGAAATAAAAGGGAATCGATGTATCAATCAATCAGTCAGGAAAAGTATTATACAGATATGATATCCATGCCGTGGATTGAAGAGCCCTCTCATCTGAGACCGTTAAGAATTGTGTTAAGAATGGTAGGTGTTGGCCCATGTATTCTTTTTGATTTCTGGTTACATTTTTCTTTTAGCAAGTTTGCCTAGGACATTGGCCCTCCAGGAGTGGAACCTTACAGCCCAAGATGATCCTGTTCAACGCCACAGCTATGACCCCCTTTCTGACCCAGCTGTGGCAGGAGATGCCCCAGCAGGGCAGCAATGTGTCTGGCCTGGCCCGCAAGTCCTCTCGCAACAGTGGCAGTGATCTGGAGGTGCTCTACATCCTCATGGTGCTGGGCTTCTTTGGTTTCTTCACCCTGGGCATCATGCTGAGTTACATCCGCTCTAAGAAGCTGGAGCACTCACATGATCCATTCAACGTGTACATCCAGTCAGACACCTGGCAGGAGAAGGATAAAGCGTTCTTCCAGGCCCGGGTTCTGGAGAGCTACAGAGCATGTTATGTCATTGAAAACCAGCTGGCTGTGGAACGGCCCAACGCATATCTTCCTGAAACAAACCTTTTGTCATGAACCCTACATGTTCAAGACAAACCCTACATGATGATCTGATTTTTCTAATCATACTCTTTATTATATGGGTACCATTGGATCTTTTTTCCTATTTTAAAGGGTGAAGGGTGGATTAATGACACTCGCTTTCTAAAATCACATTCCTTCTATAGTAGTCTGCCAGTTGTTCTCCAGTATCTGTCCCTGCTTTGTTAAATTTAGCAGAATCCCTGAGAACATGGCCTCTGAGAATAAGAACTGCATCTCCCAGACTCTGTTGTAGCTAGTAATAACAAGATCATGTGACTAAGTTCTGGCCAGTAGAATAGAAGTGATAAGTGCCCTTTCTGAATAATTCTTGAAAAAGAAAGAGCTTGCCTTCCACTTCCTCCCCTTCCCAGTGGCTGGGACATGGATGAGGTGGTAAGTAGCTTTGACACTAGAAAAGAATGATATACCTACAGATGGCAGAAAAACAAGAGTCCGGCGCCCAGGTAGTGTCATGGAGCACTGTTTCTCCACCTTCCTGGACCACCCACCAGGTCAGACTTCATAGGAAAAAGAAATCAACTCCACTTAAGCCACCATTACTTTGGTCTCTGTCGAAGTAGCAGAATGAGTATCTCCATTAATAAGACTGCCTTACAGGACTGGACCCAAAGGTATGATATCCCTATATGAGTCCCAAGCACAATACCATGTCTGTTGCCCTTGTCACTTCCTTGCTCACCATCATGGCTATATCCTCTTCTTGTCCTCCTGCCTCCCACTTCTTCTTTACACTCACCTTTCATGCATTTCTTCTCAAATACGCACACACACACACACACACACACACACACACACACCTTTCCCACTCACACATTCCAATCTGAAAGAAATTCACCTCCTATAGGACTGAAATGGAAGACAAAAAAGTATTCCTTTGTGCAGATGGTCTCCAACTTACAATTTTCCCATGTTACAATGGTACAAAAGTGATAGATGTTGGAACCAGCAGTTAGCGTAATGGCTATGTCGCTGGACTCCCATGTAGTTGACTGCGGTTCACATCCCAGACCCAGTGGCTTAAAACTCACGCCAGGCACATGTGTGTGCATGCCAAAGATCCCGAGAGGAGAACGGAGGAGAAGGGATTATGGCATGGCCATCCCCCCTAGGGGGGTGATTTCTCACTTTCTGTCTCTCTGTCTCTCTGTTTGTCTGGCGAGAGCACGCGCCCTATAGCAAAAACCTCTCAAAAAAAAAAAAAAGTGATAGGTGTTCAGTAGAAGCTACACTTGGAATTTCAAATTTTGTTTTTCCTCCAGGCTAGTGATATGCAGTACAATTCTCTCTCCCAGTTGTAGGCAATAGCCTACATTGATCTCAGCCCTTAGTCAACCACGTAATCACAAGGGTAAATAACTGATACGATACTCTACTATGTACAATTCTCAATAAATTATATGAGATACTCAACATTTTATCGTAAAGTAGGCTTTGCGTTACATGATTTGAGTCAACTGTAGTGTAAGGGTTCTGAGCACATTTAAGGTAGGTTAGGCTAAGCTATAATGTTCAGTAGGCAAGGTGTATAAAATGCATTTTGTCTGTGGTGTTAGTCTGTTTTGTTGCTAATAATAGAAATTCCTGAAACTGGGTGATGTATAAGAATAAAGGTTTATTCAGCTCACAGTTTGGATGTCCAGGATCCAGAAGCCACATCTTGCTGGTAAAGAGTCTTGAGACATCACAGGGCATTACGACATGTCAGAGGGCAGAATGTGTGGAGTAGTGTGTGTGTCTGCCCGTTTCATTCCCTCCCCTTAGAAACCCACCAGTACTCGATCACAGATGCCCTACCTGATGCCTAATCACTTCACAAGGCCCATTTTTCAACACCACTATCAGAATAAGGCTCCTTATAATACCTTCACAATACAACCAAACTCTGACATGTGAATTTGGAGATGGGGGGGGCATTAAAACCGTAACAACTACAATATTTTCAATTTAGGATAAATTATGGGGATGTAACCTTATCAAAAGTTGAGGGTCATCTGAATAACAAAGGAAGGTGCAGTTATCAGGGGAGGAAGAAGAGGTGCCCCCCTGCTCCAAAACCCCAGGGAAAAGAGTGGGTGTGGGCAGTGACAACATGTGGGATGAGGCAGCAGCATGTTTTGAGGTGATGTGCCTGTTCTGTAGATTGAATTGTGCCCCTGCTAAAAAAAGAAATGTTTATATATACTGAAGACTGAATCTGCTGTACTTGTGAATGTTACCTTCTTTGGAAAGACCATCTTTGCAGATACGACCAAGATAAGATAAGGTCACTTGGATGGGCCCTATTCCAATGTATCGAGTGTCCTTCCAAGAAGAGAGAAATTCGGACACAGACACATGGAGAGACCACTCCATGGTGATGAGTACAGAGATTGGAAGATACAGCCACAAGCCAAGGAATGCCATGGATTGCTGGCCACCAGAGGAAGCTAAGAAGAGGCAAGGAAGATGTCTCTACAACAGGTTTTAGAGGAAACATAATCCTGTTGACACCTTGATTTCAGACTTCTGACCTCCAAAACTGTGAGACAATGCATAACTGTTGTTCACACCACTTAGTTTGGGCTACTTTATTAAAGCAGCTTGGCAAACTAATGCAGGACCTCTCACCCCACTCAGAGTCACAGCTGCTTTGGCTACCAGCTCACTTCCCATCATGAATGAGAGATGGGAAGGGACTAGGGATGGAGGAGGATGGTACCTGGAGAAAATGTTTTCTGAGCAATGTTCCCAGATGCTTAATCCATTCCTAAAGAACCAAAGATTCTTGGAATTTAACCATGTCAACATTGCAATTGTAAATTATTAGCTGAGGATAAATGGGTGTCCTTTAAAGACTTTGTGAGATCAGGAAACAAAGAGAGGTCATAAGGAGACAAATGATGACTGTAAGGTGGATATCCAATGTTTTCTCATCAAAACTCTTGAAAACCTATCTTTATTATTATTATTTTTTTATTTATTTTATACAATCACTATACATCACTACAGCTTATAAAGTGAGTTTACCCAGCATGAATACACTTCACACCAGTCCAGTTGAAGATACTATACACATTATCATCAATGGGTAATCATCTATTTCTGTGTCTCATAAATGTCCTGTCTCTATTTTTCTCTTTTGTCCCTTTTTTGATGAGAGGAATGAGCAGAAGCACTGTCATGGTAGAGGACTCTCTGGTGAAGCTTTTCTGAGCATTTTTCTGCTAAAGCTTTAGTTAGCTTTCTCAAAGCACTCTCATAATAAGCTATTATTATTGTTCTTTGGCCTTCCTGAAAGTCAACAAGAAAAACACCTTAAGCTCCCAAGAAAACTGCTGCCATGACCTTTACTCTTAAAGTGTCTGTTTTTGCTTTGAATGAACCACTTCTGCCTCTTGGTAGCCGTTGTTTTAATTGTGTCTTGTCGTCAGGACTGTGAAGGTAAAGCCATGTGTTGGCTCTGTCGCAATTCTTTAAAATACTGCTTCAAGATTTTTTTTTTTAATTTGCCAGATGGTGCTGGTGCTCTCTGGAGAGAAATAGAGAAAGATAGAGAGAGAAAGTGAGGAACTACCCCCATGGGGCATGGTCAAGCCTCAATCCCTTCTCCTCCATTTCTCCTTTCAGGATTTTGCGCATGCACATATCTAGCATATATTTCAAGCCACCAAGTCCAGGACTTGAACTGTGCAATTGGCCATGTGAGTCCAGTCATCTTAACCACTATGCCACTGGGTGGCCCACTTCAGGATCTTAATCTCACTTATTTAAAATTCCCATTGAAAGCTCTGCAGTTGAATGGGTAACAACAGTTTTGGCACCGACCACACAGATATTAGCTCAACTTTTTCCGTCAGAATTGTGGAAGCTGAATCAACTGAGATGTCTATGGTTTGTGCTGTTAATTGGTCTACTTCAGTTAGGGTATAAACAAGATCCATTTTTCTTTAATAACTGAAGCAGATGGTCTGCCCATGTGGGCATCATCTTCACCATTGTCTCATCCCTTCTTAGGATGAGTAAACTGCTGGTTTCTGTGGAGCATTGTCCCATGAACTTTTTGGAAAACATTGACTTCACCATTCTTTCACCCAAGCTTAGCCATAAAGTTGATATTTGTTCTTGCTTCAATTTGAATGGAATTCATGTTGCTCTGATAGGAGCTCTTTTCAAACTGTTGTTTTTTCCTCAATGCCTCAAACTAGATCCTGTTCAGACATGTTATAACAAGTCAGTACAAGTTTATTTGGGTGTGAAAAAAGATTTGAAACCCATGCATAGTTTTTCCATAATATGCATTCTCACTGGGCCCATGAGCTTTTTGAAGACTCCCTTTGTGACACACAGTGATTCCTCTGTATGTGCTAGGAGTCATCTGGAGGGCAGAGCCCTGGCATGAATCAGTCTCTGGATTACTGCAGTCCTCAACATGAATGGTTTAGGTCACTGAGTCCTTTACAAATCTCATGAAATCCATGATCCTCTTCTCCTGAAAAAATGCACATAGGGGGCCAGAAAGTGGCATCGTAGTTAAGGCTCTAGACTTCCACATGACTGACTGCAATTCTAGTCCCAGACCCGGCAACTTGAGACTCATGCCAGGCACATACGCTTGCATACCCAAAATCCCGAGAGGAGGATGGAGGAGAAGGGACTGCAGCATAGCCATCACCCCTTGGGGGGTGATTTTTCACTTTCTGTCTCTCTGTCTTTCTCTGCCTCTCCAGCAAGTACACGCACCCTATAGCAAAAATCTCTAAAGAAAAAAGTGCACATAGACATAGTATTTTTCCCTTGTCTCAAATGTTCACGGGCCACTGAAGCCCAGTGACAACTGCTGACACCTCTTGACCCCTGTACGAGACAGATGCAGCCTCAGGTAGACACATATTACCCAGAATGAAGGAAAGGCAGATTTGGAGAGGGACGCAGAGCAAGCACACGTGACCCACAAGGTCATCCAGACTGCACACTGACTTTGCTATTCCAGGCACACGGACTGGTCTTTATCACAAGCTCACTTTTGCCCACATAGATTGCTGTGCCTTTTAAGGCAGAGGGAGATCCCTGCCTGGAGCTTTAGTCCTTCCTGTCCTTGAAGGACCAGGCATTGCTTTCACTTCCCTGAAATGCAAACCTCTTATCTCTTCCTCCCTCCCCTTTCTCATGGCTTTAAAGGGGAAGGAGAAAAGGGAAATGAATTGACCCACAAATTTCCAACTCTTGCTACCATGTTTTAAATTTTGCATTTTTTAAATCAATTTATTTACTTTACATTCTTTCATTGTACATCACCACAGCTTACAAAATGTGATTTCCTATCTAAAATACATTGCAAAGTGGCTTAATCATACATGTTATCACCAACAAATAATTTTCCATTTCTTGTTTCTTGTATATATATGTGTATTTTCTCCCCCTATTTCTCACCCTCTGCCATTTCCCATCCTCCTCCCACACTGTCTCTGGTATCTGCAGTTGCTTTCCATTCCTTTTTTTTCCCCATGTTTCATTGATTCACAACATATCTTCATTAATCTAAACATGTTTTAAATTTTGATTTCACATACATAGAGTGCTTGCTATGTGTCAGGTAATATTTGAAGCTCTTTTACCTTTAAGTTGCCAGGGCATGTGTGTGTGTGCTGGACAGAGAGACAAGAGAGATAGAGGAGAAGGGATTGTGGCATGGCAATTCCCCGGGTAAGCAATCCCTTCTCCTCCATTTCTCCACCCTGTCCAGATTTGGGGCACACATGCACATGCACCTGGTGTGTTTTTCAAGCCTCCAGGGCTGGATTCAAATCCAAGCCCTAGAGAGGGAAACACTCAGCCACATGGGATCCTGCTTCCCTTAACCACCAGGACATGTGACCAGCCCTATTCTGAGCTCTTTAAAAATAGAATCTCAGGGGATCAGCAGTTAGCATAATGGCTATGTCACTGGACTCCCATGTAGTTGACCGCAGTTCAAGTCCTGGACCTGGTGGCTTAAAACTCAA